GGCTTTGGTGGGCATCTGGCCAGGGTCAACCCACCACAGTCTTTAAACTGAAAGAGGGCAGATTTAGCTTGGATATAAGGAAGAAACCTTTTACAAAGAGGGTGGTGAGACACTGCAGTAGCTTGTCCAGAGAAGTTGTGGATGTTCCATTCCTGGAAGTGTTCCAAGGTCAGGTTGGACAGGGCTTTGGGCAACCTGATCTAGTGAAAGACGTCCCTGCCCAAGGCAGGGGGGGTTGGACTCAATGATCTTTGAAGGTGTCTTCCAATCAATGATTTTACGATTCATCAGCCACTGAATCCCTTCTACAGGCAGTGTAACCAGGAATATATTCAAGGATATAACTGCTTCTTCTGGACTTTCCTCCAGGCCTTTATCTTTCTGATTCTCTTCATTCTCAGTTCTTTACTACATGCACTTTTCTTTTCTGTTTTGTTAAGAAGTCAGGCTATGGACATGAAAATCCTTTCAACTGCCAGACATTACAACATCAGTGCTCAGGGATTCCTTCTGTTATTGAAAAAAAAGGTTGATCATTAGAGAACCAAGTAATAGAGCAGTCCACTCAACAGCTGCATTAGCAGAATGAAGGATGCTGTGACATCATGGGTAGGTGCAACACAGTGACATGAATGTCACAGCTTCAAGGACAGAGTGCTGTCCCATGACTCCAGCATGTGCACTATCTTGCATCAGTGGAATGAAGCCCCTTACTCCACTCAGAGGCTGAAACTCTGTCTTCTACTTTTCTAGCTTTGTTGCTCTTTCATTGAACAGGCAATTTAATCTCATCTAATGGGTGCTGATAAACCCAAAGTCCCATACCTGGCAATCAACCTGTAGATTTTGCACTGTGACATGTTACATACATAATAACAGAAGGATATGATTACGGAACAAGATCCATATGATTAAGGAACAGGAAGCAAATAATATGTGTTAAGATGCTGCCTGCTGAGGGACAAGTAGGACCAGTTCCCAGAGAAGACTTTCCCTATCAGAAAATGCTTGCTGAATAAGTGAGACAGAATGCAACTAGGGGAAAATATTGGTGTAGTATTTTTTGCCTTTCCAAATCAAACTTTTCATACTCACAGAGGCTGCATTGTAACTTGCCTGTTTACAGTTACTTTCCTAATTGCAAACGAGGATACTTGTCTGTCATCAAAGTAAGTCCTTGGACGGTTCTGTCCAATTTGGTTTAGTACTTCCACTTCCCAAATTGTCAGGATCCAAGAGCTTAAGTCAAGTTTTCTGTATCAACAGCTCACTCTTCCAGAAAGGCTACCTGACCCTCAAAACAGCCCAGCTACCCTGCTGCTGTTACTGAAGCTGCTATAATCTTCTCGTCAATCATCTAATTATGAGAGATGCCTGCTCAGTGTTTAAGCTCCTCTAAAAAGGCTCAAATTGAAGTCTTTCACCTTTTAGAAGGCAGAAGAAGACTTCCTATCTGTAGCACCATCCATCCCTGGAGAATCTGAACCCTGGCTCAGAGCAGGCAGTCCCAAGAAGCCTTTTGGAACTTATTTTCTTGCTTTTCAAGGTGAAAAGCTGGAACGAAGAGCTTTGTTTATACATGTTTTGCTGTAGGACTTCCTGAGAGAGGTTTGGTCATTACTAATGTCCCATGTGCTGTCATACTCCAGGGAATGATGCAGCAGTGACCTGGACCCTTCAGTTATTTGGGATCAGATCTACTAAGCAGAGTCAGGTGGTGAGACAGCTTCAAACATACAGGTCAAATTCTTTTCTTTCCCTTTCTGTGCTTCTCTGCTGTCATAGTTTCCTAGCTTTAAAATATGTAATCAATATTAGAACATGTAATTAATATGACAAGACAGAAAATCTTATCCAAGCATACCAGCTCACCCTGTGTACCTTTGAGGTATGTGACTTGGAATATCACCTTGGGACCAAAGAGAAGGTTGCTTTACTCTCAGAAGCAAATATCACTAATGCTGAGGGTGGGGGAAAAGGGGATCCCAGAGACCAACACAGTATAACCCATAGTGACCTTACTGAAACCTTTCCCAGATGTAGCACCCAAGGAGCCCTGCCTGGCTGCAGAGGGACACAATTTTTTGACAATACAAAGAGTACAGCAGAAGCCAGGCTGACACTTGGGTGCAAATCAAGGTAGGTTTTTGTACTATTTATGTATTTATACTTACATCCTGGGGTGTGCCTAATGCTGCAGAGGGGTGACAGGCTCACACAGCTCTGAATATGTTGCTCATCAGCATCTGGCAAGATACTGTCTTACCCAGAGACTTTTCTTTACAACAGCTGACAGCCTTATCATTTGTATTTCAGAAAAGCTGGAAATACTCAGACAAGGCTGAGGCTCCACGCTTGGTAGGAGCTTGTACTGTGTGAACATGGGCAACACCTCCTGGCCCAAAATGGCTTCATGTTTAAACAGATAAGAAAAAGCAGAGCATGGGAAAAGGAAGGATTATTATGCTTATTTTAGAGACCAGAGGAGTTTTATTTAAAGCCAGAGGGGTGACCTGGCAAAATTACAGAGGTACACTCTCTAGAAGCAGGAATTGAATATTCAGTGCCAGGTTTGGGCTTTAACTACAACACTGATCTTTTTTCTCTAACAGTTTCCCAGTAAAGCCCCAAAAGACTCTGCAAAGGCTGCTGTGCCTGATAATATGTAAAGACGACTATCAGCCAGTAGGTCTTTATTTTCCTTCTTCCCTTGAGTAGGTGTACTGGATTTGTGCTGAAGTAGTGGAAAACGGGCAAGGCTACAAGTCTATCCCCCTACATCATGCCAGCTTTAACACCAGAGGAACTACAGAATGGGGAATAATCCACATCTGCAGGAGAGCTGCAGGACCTGCTGCTCTCTGGAGGAAGGGGATGCAGTAGTCAGGTTTTGACATTCATCTTCTCCAAAACTCTTGTTCTTGCAAATGGGTCAGATGCTTGCAATCCTGTGGGGCTCACCAGTGCTATATTCCTCTTCTTGTGCCTGTACTGAAGAGACTTACCTCAGAGTGATGACTGGCCTCCAACCATGGCACAAGACTGTCTGGGCTGTATGGAGAAGGCCAGCTTCCCAACTGTTTTTACTGGTCATTTGAAGCTAGATAGCAATGGAGTGGCTGGGCAAAGCACAAGGAGACAGAAGAATACTTTCTGTGGCCTTGCAGTGTAGTATCTACCCTAAATTACAGTAAGTAGATGCTAAAACAGTCACAAATGTGCAGTGATTTACACCATATTCCTGGCCATGAACAGCTAAAGTATGTTAGGATTAACTGTGGTCAGCTGACATCATTTCAGTGCTCTAGTTCTGTTCTTCACTTGGAAGCATCACATTGAATAACCATAAATAACCCACTCCACAGCACATGCTATCTATGTGCACAAAAGGGCCAAGCAAAATGACAGCCCCTAGGCTAGCTATTGCAGATATTACTCCTTTCAAGAACAGTCATGCAATTTTGGTCCCTGTCCCAAAAGGACAGAGTAGAACTGGAAAAGGTGCAAAGAAAAGCAAGAAAGATGATCAAAGGTCTGGAAGGGGTTCTGTGTATGACACACGCTGGCACTTAGGCTCGGTAAGACATGACAGAGGGGGAATATGGCAACTGTCCATAAAATCCTCAGCGGCCTAGAGAGGATGGACAAAGATCAGCTGTTTACCACCTCTTCAAATACAAAAACTAGGGGAAGCACCAGGGGCATCACTCAAAACAGCAGGATGAAAATTCAAAATGAATCAAGGTGACAGGCCTTCAAACGAAGGGTGGACAACCAAGGGAAGTGCCTCTCAGGGAGCACCATGAATGCAAAAAATGTCCATGTATTCAAGGGGAAACTGAACACTTCCATGGAAAAGAAATCCAGTAAGAATCACTCAGCACAAAGACAGCAGATCTAGCTCAGAAGACACTCAGCTGCATATGACTGAAGGCTATGGTCAAGTATCACACACTCTTCTGCAAGCAGATCCTGTGGGCCATTGCCAGAGACAGAACATACCACTAGGAGTTTGGGTCTGACCCAGCATGGTTGCCCTTATGTATCTGCAGGTACAAACACTTAAAGGCAGATGCATGTCAATCCGGGCTCTGACACAGCCTGGATACGTCCGTCCATCCATCCATCAGATAACCTTATGGGGAGCTGTGACTAATCACAGCAGCCACCTCTGTGACAGGGATATAGGTCCTCCACACGGTTGCATCTCACAACCACTGACATAAAGCACATTTGTGTCCAAGCACTGTGCCACAGATCTGCACCCAGCCCAGCAGCACATGCTCTGCGTGGGGGAGCCGAAGACCCAGACCTCATCAAGAGAGAAGAAAAGCAGCAAAGAAGGAGAAACTGAAATATGCAGAGAGACATAACAATGAAGGGGAACAGCATGTTTGTGCTCAGCAGCACACAGATGTCTGGGTCTCCTGGTTAAATACTCTTGAGAGTAGTTTTCTACTCTCAAGTGGAGAGCTAAGAAACCTAACATAAATTAACCTTTTCCTTATTGCAAGTTGGAAACTGGAAAGAAAAAAAAAAAGGTAAAAACCAAACTCTGCTATGAATGAAGCAAGTTTGGAGTGCCCACCTCTCTGAAGAGCGCGCCATAAAACTGAACAATATACGGGCAGTCACTGCTTCGCATTACTACATCAAGGTCCATCAGAAGCTGCTTCTGTTCTTTTTCATCCACTGTCGACCGAATTCTCTGAAAGAGGAAGAGTGGCAGAGACTTTATCACTTACATGCCATTTCTGTATCCTCAGACCCGCTTCTGGGGAAACATGCCAGGGACCCCAAACCCAAGGCTGAGCAGGCAATCCCCAAGGCATGCTCAAACACTCTAGAGAATTAAGCTGTGCACTCATATAGGAAATATAACTGAAAATCCCTAAAGCCATTTAATTCAGACTATAAAATCCCCAGTCCTCTCATGAGCATAAACATTTTCAGGTAAAATGTCAGAATGAAATTAAAGAGCAGAGATTTCATTGAAAACTACAGCAAAACAACATATTCAGTATTTCATTTCAAAACAAATTCCCATACAGTTCTTAGCCATGTTGGATGGGGCTTGAAGGCTGTTTTGAAAATTTAACAAAGGAACATTATGTTTAAAATTTCTAAGAAGACAAGCACAGAAGACAAAAAGGCTTCTTCCACCGTGCCTCCACCATGGCTGGCACAGTGAAAAGGGACCCTCATGTAACCGAGGGAACACATTGCTCTGGTAATGTCAACAGTGGGCATCAGTCCTGTGAGCTCTTCTCATAAAACTAACAATTCTTTACCTAGTACTGGCCTAAGGAACATTAACACTACATAAAAAATATTTAAAAAAAATATATAAAAATATGCACAAACAATGTGTATATGAAGATAAATATGTATACACATGCTATGCTTTATATATACACTATATATAAAGACAATTCTGATTGGTCTTGAAAGAACAATGCAAGTTTGAAAATAGAAAACTGTGCATGTTCAAACATGAAGCTTGTTAAACAAAGGATGAAGAAGACCATCCACAGTTTTCCATGTGATTTTACAGACATATTTAACATCTTGCATTAATTAATTAATTCCCTGAACCACAGGTGAGGAAAATTGTGATCCTGAAGGTGTGACTCATGTTGAAAAATCATTAAAAACCAAGAAAAAAAATATCTGGCAAGAAGTCCAAAGCAACAGAAGTAGCCTGGACCCTCCTTGAGGAGAAAAACTACTTGGCTGTCCAAGCAAGAAAAAATATTTAAGATTGTGGGAAAAATCCGTAAGGTACCAGCAACCACACCCACGGACATTACTGCCCTGTGAGCAACTGCTGGTGGCAACAAGACCACACGCCATTAGCAAGGCACAAGGTCAAGTATATGAAGGTAGTTTCAAGGCTGGCCATTCATATTGCATCATTTGAGAAACAGTGCATGATTATGTACCTTGAGGCTATTTTGCGATGACCCACACAAAATGAGGACAGTATTGACACTGTAATTTTCCTTACCTTTGGTGTATCCTGATATTTTGGTATTTCCTCACTCATCCTTAGTGTTCTAGTAGCTCTAGTTTGGCCTACACCCAGTAATTGTCATGTTCATATTGCCCTTTTCCCTCTCAGTGAATTCTAGAGTATTTGGGAAAACTGGCAAGAGACTTGCCCAGCACACCCATAATCTGTAACATCCACACCCTGCAATGCCACTGGGCGGGTGGGATTTTGTAGTCGCAAACACAGCAAGAAGATGGTTCAATGGACCAGTAATGAAACTAAAAATCTTCACCTCTAGGTCACTGGTTCAAGTCTGTTTCACAGAAGTTCAGTCACATCACTGAAGAAAGCCTGACAAGTTTTATTATTTCTTATGTCTACAGCATATAAAGCTCTACAGTCCCCTGCTGAGATAGCAAAGGCCAAGCAGATTGCATGTCTCCTAGATGGCAGAACATCAGCACCATGTGAAATGATAATGCCATTGCTCTGACCTCCAAAGAAGATGACGGATGCCAAAGCCCCCATGGTGAGACCTATGAGGAACAGTTTAGTCTCTCACTGAGATGCTACCCACTCCTCTGAAAAGTTCACCTCTTTGGTGAGGATCAATACCAAAAGGAGCTAGCTTTTTTCCATACTGTAACTCATCTCCCTTTCTGTGCTAACTCTACCTCTCTCTGTCTCCAAAAAGCCTCTTTCCTGGTCATCTGGGAGTCTCCCCAACCCTCTCTGCATTCTCATTGCATCTGCATGTTCCTGTCACAGTCATACCCGCAGCATGCTCCTCAAACTCCACAACTTCACCTGAAAGCATCTCCTCCCACTTCTGACATTTCATTCTCTGCTGTTACTTCTCCAGCTCTGGGAAGCATGTGAAATACACCTTGTATGGAGGAGGTGATTTTAACAGTAGCCTGGGACAACACCAAACCCAAAGATTCCTCCCCTCCCCAGGGAGAAAGGGCAGGTAGAGGACCCAGAAGACGGATAGTGGGTCAGCTATAATGTAGAACATCCAGGCAAACACAGGAGCCAAAGGTCACCTTGAGAAGCCAGCATGGACTCCTCAGCAAATACTGCTTCAGGGAGTGAAGGTAAGGACACAATGCAAGATTGGGAAGTCTCACAGAAGAGTGCTGGAGACTGAAGACTGGCAAATTCAAGAGAAGGGGAAAACTACCAGGCGCAGCCTGCAGCTCAGGCTGGAAGAGATGGCTCTGTTTAGCTGGAGCACACCAGGAAGTCTGCTGCATGCCAGCAGTCCCAATTTACCAGCTAAGGAACAAGCATTCACTGGCAAAACAGGGAAGAAACAGCAAAAGGTGACTGAAGTCAACAGCAACCACTACCCAAATAGCACATGAGCTGTAATGACGATCTACTACCTAACTCCAAGGGAGAGTGCAAGACACCGCAGCAGCTTCCACAGATAGACTCCCCCAAGAACATGGGAGATGGCAGGGAAGGAAGAAAAAAGGTGAAGCAATAGCCTGAAGACATCATTTAAGACAGGGGTGGACAGGTCTGACAGCTTCAGGCCTTACATCTCTCAGCCTGGTCACTCTACAGCATGTAGTCACTGACTTGGCCAAACAAGCCACGTAAGGAGCAAGTGGTTTTTGTAGCAGAGGCTTATGGAAAGTCTTGTTTTTAACAGTTCCTTGTTGGCCTCAAACTTAAACTGCATCAAATTCTCCAGGAGAAAATTCTCCAGCCCTTTTAATACAAAGCCCAGTTAGGACAAAGCTTTCTGGTATTAGGAACAAGAGCTCTGAAAGCTATGCCCTGGGCAGCATCAACAGCAAAAACAATAAGCTATCCTGTGGATTGGACCACTCTCACACCTAAAACCAGACAGATCTCAGAAATCAGACCCAAAACAGAAGAGACACCACCCAGCCCCAAGAGGCACAAGAAAAGATTCAGGTGCAGTGGGTAGTGACCAGTTAAAAAAGGAAAAGGAAAGAAAAGAAAAAGAAAAAAAAAAAGATAAACACCAAACTGAATACCAACTCCTTGAGTTGAAAGATAATATAGTGCTGTCCTGCATACACAGCTCACTCATGTCCTCCACAGAAAGTACAGCACAGCAGTGCTTGACGGTGTCACCAGAGGGCTGGTGCTCCCTAGGGATGGTGGGGATTGAGGACACCTAACCAGTAGGAAAAAGGGGGTTTGCCCACTTGCTGCTGAGGATGAGAGTATTTATCTACCCATCCAAAACACATTTACTGCTGACAGAGGTATGTCAGGTTTTCCACTGATCACAACTAGTTTCCCACCTCCTATAATAAGGTTCTCACTCTCTCCCACCTTTGAACCCTTACCCATTTGCTCCTTTCCCAGTGTACTACCAGCAGGTCTCAGCCAGCTACCCAAACGGTTGAGTGAAACAGAAAAGTCTGCTCAATAAACCATAAGGAGTCGATGTGGGAGAGGGTACCTAATTGTGTGAAGAATGGAAATGATTATTTGAAATAAAGCCAGCTTGCACAAAGCCCCAAGACTTCTCTTCAGAACTCATATGGGAAATTGGAAGGACAGAGAAATTTGCCCCTTGGCTGAGCTTAATACACTAATAGTGGCATTTTGGTGGGCTTTTATGGGCTACTAGGCACCCAGGTAAGGATGGAGAGATTACAGAGGTATAAATAAATGTTAAATTTCTGCTCTCAAGGGTATCTGATACTTAGCAACCTATTTCAGCTGTGAGACTGTCATCAGAGAAAACCTGCAAAAGCCAAAAACATGAACATCTGTTTTAAAGCTATGGATGAGAGAGTAAGCGCTGACTACAAGGCAGAAATGATGTGAAAGAGGCACTGTGCTCTGAACAAGAATTGGCTTCACAGCTTACTGGCTTCTCCGGGAAAAACAGGGATCTTTTCTGGACGCCTCTTAGGCCTGAAATCCTAAAAAAAATTCTGTATCTCTAAAAAGTGCCCTGGCCAGCTTCTCCAATTACTGAACTGATCTTGAAATTGCTTCTCATTTTCTTAAGACAAGTTTAAAGTAGAAGCAGAAGACCACTTGTAGTCTGGTCAAAAATACTACTAAAGAGAAAAAAAGAAAGCAGCACAATATCTGAAGACACTGGTTAGAACTGGAGACTAGACTAGGCAATATTGCAGAAAGGAACTAAATCAGCTAGGCTGATTTATACAACAGATATTGGAAGATACAGAAAATTCTGGTATACGGCTGAAAATCACTGCATCTTTTGGGGTGGGGGAAAACCAAACATGAAAAATTGTAGACAAAAATGCCCCCAGTTGGCTTGCTTTCCTAGGTGTAAGTATTTCTGTCAGAAAAATAATTCAATTAAAAAGAAGTGCAAGACTCTTCCATGGGGCCACAAGAAGCTTGACGGTCAACCAAAGCACAAACCACTCTACTTGTCTCTTGATGGTATATTTTTCATCCAGTTGAACTGGCTGAAAAATTGGCAGAGTCTGCTAATACTGAATCCCAAATATCAGAGGAGCTCCCTGTAGTGTCACAGAAAGGGCCTGCCCAGCATTCCCAGGGCTAGCAGGGCTGAAGGGGAGAGGAGCAGGAGGGGAGGGCTCTTGCCAGCTGCCTGTGGGCTCAGGATATCACTGCTATGCTTGGGCTCCTGACCTGCACAGGCACTGCTTAACAGATTAAAGGATGCTTATTTTAAATATTTGCTTATTTATCTTGGGAACTCTTCAAACAAAAAACTTTCCTAGGCTTTGAGAAGCCTTTTTAAATACCCTGGCTAATAAAACCCACATCAGGTATTACACTAAGTAAAAAGCAGAGCATCTTGCTCCAACAGGGAGAACACTCCCCAGCTTTTGTTCCAGTTCAGGCTTTTTTCATTTATGTATTTTTATACCAGTTTGGAAAAACCAAGTATGCCAAAGATCTTTTAAAGATCTCTTTTTCTAAGAACTATCACCAGTTCCAGAGGGAAACCTCAGGACAGAAAGAAACTCCCTGGCTGCTGGGTTAGCTTCCCAAGAAAACCATTTCACTCAAATAAAATGGGGCTTCTCTATACTTCTTCCAATGTGCCAAAGACAGTTCTGTTCCTTGAATTTGTGGCACTCCCATGAAACAAGATGCACAACCTCCCAGAGCAGCTGGGACAACATGTGATGATGCTGGAAGACAAAGACGAAAGGGGGCTGGAGAACAGTACATATTGTGAAGCCTCTGGGATAAAAACAGGAGTGACGGCATTAGAGTAGACCCTGAGAAGGGACTAGGGCTCTCCGCTGAGCAAAGAATCCCAGGAAATTATTCACAAGTCACTTATGAACAGCCACAGACTGGGCAAAAACAGACTAAAGAGAAAAGAAGAAACCAGAAGCAAGTCAAAGGCACTTGGTAGAACTTGAAGGCGGACCAGGCTACATCACAGAGAGCCGGTACCGCAGTAAAATGCCAGCTAGGGTAGGTCTTCTTCAAGGAAAATGAGGAGCCCAGAAGAGAAACCTGCCAAGGAGATCAGAAGTTAACATACAAACCAGCCTTGCAATTGTGAATTTGTAGACACAGAACTGGCACTGGTCAAAATGGGGCTGTTCACTTCCCCACCTGGAAAAGTCTTGACCTCATATGCCAATAAATCCTCAACAAAATGAACAGGGTTTTTTTCAGTGAGAGGAAGACCGTGACGCCAGCTGACCCAGAGCAAACAGGGACTCTGCATCTCTAGGAAGATCTAATAAATAAATGGATTGTCTTTTATTAAGATTTGGAAAATATAATACAACATTTTCCAGGGGCAAAAATGAGAAAGGTTTGAATACAAATCCTCTGAGTTGGATTCAACTTTCCAAGGAGAGGGAGGAGCAGGACTGGGGACAAGAGCTCATCATCTGAGTCTCCCCAGCAATGATCTGCCAGCTGAAACTTTGCTGCGGTGGTTTCACGCCAGCGACACGACAAGGCTCATTTTCCTCCTTTGCCGCTGACGCTCGAGCACAGATGAAAGCTTTCTGACTCATCTAGGAGCCTGGCAGCCCTGTCCATGTGACTAGTTAGACATCCTCATTACAGGTGACAGGATTACATCTGCCAGGATCCATACATTGGCTGATGAGGCCAAAACGCCTAAGAGGGAAAAATGAAAAAATGGTGCCTCCACCTACAGATCTCAAGTTATTTTGGTGATTTTTCAGCATTCAGGAATTCTTTTCCTGCTGTAGTAAGAAATATAGACAGGAAGCATAGCAAAGACACTGTGCTTGGGTAGCTCAGGGTGCTCTGTGGCACTGGTGCCACATGCATCAAGCGGGAAGAAAGCAGAAGGCTAAGCTAAACCATGCTTCAGGGAACCAAAGACTGTTGTGCAAAGGCATGACAGGTTAGAAAAAGCCAGAGGAAGGAGATGGAAATAGAATTTGAGGGTATGTCCCAGCAGCCGCATCTGCACAGGCTGAGAGGTGATCAGGAGGAGTGCTCAGAAGCACCAGGCTGCCTTGGTGGAGCAGGAGCTGGGAGCAGCCAGAGTAAGACCCCAGCACGGGGGAAAGAACGAGGCTGCGCCCACTCCTTACACGATAACTGCAGCACGTTTGGAGAACAAAGAGAATTTGAATCTCTCTGCAGCAGAAGGGGCTGACAAGCCACAAGAGATGCAGCCTGTAGCTGCCAACTTGGACCTTCCAGAAGTGGGGTAGGAAGATACCCGACTGTACTGGAAATTTGCAGCAGTGGTAGTGGAAAATGGGGTAGTGGTGGAGAAGGATGGAGGAGCAGCTGGGGGAGGGCCCCGTACAAATTTTCTCTGCATCTAATTAGCAGCTTCTGGAGCCATCTCTGTGTTTCGCTCATCAGTGCAGAAGAGCCAACAAGTTTTGGCTTGTGGCCTCCATAAAGCAATTTCCTACTACTGAATGTCCTTCCAAGAATGATTTGCTTGCTGCACTGATGTTGCTCTTGGGGAAGCACAGGAGAGGGACAGCATCACCACCAAATAACCAGACACTGGCTTCACAATCCAGCTAGTTGCAGGGCAGCATTCTTGGTGCCTTGCATGCAGCATGGTGCCACACCAGAGTTGCCAGCAAGTGTCATTGAGATCATAGCCAAGACCTCCAATCACTAGACTGACATGTCTCCTTCTCAAACCACCATCCCCCTTCTAGAACTTCTCAACCTTCTCTTACAGAAGGGCATTATGCTGAAGGAGGAAAAAATGAGTTAGGTTCCTGCCTGTAGAGGAAGGAAAGACAATGGAGAGCAGCTGGTTTCCCTGAATGCAGAAGGGGAGCTCAGGCTTCAGAAGACAACAGCTCCACAAGCTGTCAGGACACCACAGGCTTGAGAGAGACAGAGAAAGCAGGAAGTGGACAGGCCCAAACATGGATGGCCCATAGGGCATACTGACATAGAGCAGGAGCAGGGAGATGAGGGCACAATCTCGCTTGCCCCAAAAGCAACAGCAATCTGAGAAAGAAAAGGCTGAGTAGTTTGGGATTAACTATTTGCTGGTCCAAGCTCAGCGCTGTGCTGAGACCTCATCTCAAGTAATTGCACCATCCAAGCTGTGGAATAGCTGCTGCTGCCTTGTAGACCTCACTTACTGTTCCATGCACGGGCCTTCTTTTGCTCAGTTTTGCTCAATTTTATCCCCACTGGGACAAACACAACAGCTTCTTGCCACTAACATTTTAGAAATGATGCAGCTGCCCAGACCCTCCAACCTTCCTTCTCCTGCAGGCGTTACAATGCTCGCCCAAGGGGAGTGGGTTCAGGGAAAAGAAAGCGGCACCATCCCAGCCCACAACTTTGACATTTCAAAGTTTAGACACTGTAAACCTATCAGATTTTATTTGTTTAAAAGTGAGCCCCCAAGCCCAGCACCCCCCTGGGGCTCAGATCCTCGGGAAAGCCACCTCAACAGGCCGGGCAATGTCATCTCCAACTGCGTGCTTCAAGAGCACAGCACTGGTGCCTTCTGCCTCCCGGACAGGAGCTGTACCTGCATCATAGACAAGATTATCCTACGATGCTGAATATCCCTCGTGCATATACAGTCTGGGACAACAGAATTTCTGTGTCAGCAGACACATCTTCTCAGTGATGTCAGGTAATCCAACAAAGCGCTCTTCTGAGCTGCACCCGCTGCAGAGCTTCGGATTAGAAAGCCACTCAGCTATAGGTATGCCTTTTCTTACCCACAGCTATCATGATTATAGCAGCAAAACTATAGTTACCCAGCTCACACACCCTGGGTTTGAGAAGCTGGAGATGTCCAGGCATCATTTCACTACATCAGCAGTTTTCAACCTGTCATCTGCAAACTCATCTACAAGTTCTACCAACGGCAAATAAGAGAAACAAGCCTTTAGTTACAGGCAGCCTCTAGCTATACTGGAGACTTTTAGGGTTTCAAAACCAGGTTGAAACACCACTGCATGGTGATCCAAAACACTTGGAGACCTGTCCAGTGATCCCATCGCTGTGAGGAAGTCAATATTTACTGGAGAAAATAATCAGATTTTTGGTTACTCAAAAAAACTTCAGCTACTTTTTTAGTGTTTCATTACTCCAGTAACCTGACACACTAGAGACAAGTATGAATTATATTCACAGCAGCTAGAGCTGGGGCTGAGACATGTCTATCTGGCAAATGAGACCAGCAGGCAATGTTTCCAGATCAGACCAGGGAATATTCCAAAGAAGACAGAGAGAGCTGGAAAAGAGAGCGACACAGACTCCTACATGGCTCACTTCTACTCTTTTATGGGAGCCATGGGAGCACTTACAGTTGGTATCATCAACAGAATTAAAAGATTGATGTAATTAGCTACCAGCCAGCAGCAAGCAAAGAAGAGGATAAGAGAGAGAGGGAGAGAGAATGGCTGCTTCCCACCTCATCCAGTTCGATGGACAATCAGCTCCTCAAAGATGCCCAGTGAGCAGCACTGCTGCAGCAAGCCAAAGATTATTCTGTATTGCCCAGCTGGGAAACAAGGCTGCAAATTGGTTCTGGTTTTAAGGTTTTTGGGTAGCACAAAGTAGTTCAGAAAACTGCTATGCTTTCCATCACCAGAGCAGGTCCGGCATGGTAAGTACAAGGCAAAGACACTCCATCAATACATCAGCAAGAGCAAAGCACTCCCTAGAAGATGTCCACTCCATTCCAGCTCCTCCTGGTGAGGCTACATCAAGGCACACACTTACATAAAAAGCAAATCATAAGTCATTACCTTATTTCACAAAAGACAGCAAGAAGCTATTAGATGTCAACTTGTGCCTACCAACAACCTAGGTTGTAACTGAACCAGTGACCCAGAGGTGAAAGGCCCATGCCCTGTTATCAGCCTCCAGAGACATATGATCCCCTCAAAACAGTAGGTTCCTGATAGGCATTTTCAAAAGGGCACAAGCAATTATGAGAGCTTCACAAATCACTTGACAATATGCCCGTTATACAATGCATTTTCAGCAAATAGCAGCCTTTACACTGGAAATAAATAGAAAAGAGCAGTAGATGGGTGCTAGATGGAAGAACATTAATTCTCCATCACATTTTATCCCTAATGGACTGAAGGACAAATGTAAGTATGGGCATCACCTACTTTAACTGCCATAATTTGCCCACTTGGTTTGTGGACCATTTTGTTGACAGAACCATAAGCGCCTCGTCCAATCTCTCCAAGGTCTTTCAAGTCCTCTGCTGTAAAATCCCAATGTTGTTCAGGGGAAATCTTCAATTTTCCTGATGATTCAATGCTGTGTGTTCTCAGTCTCTCTCTGTCAAAAATATTGGGAAGCAATTTTTCCACATTTTAAATAGTCTGTAAATTTCTCTTTTCAGCACTTGATTAAACATTAGAAGAGAGGGGTTCACAAAGGCTACAGCAACAATCTGACTCCACAAAGGATTTTGGTTGGGGTAGGGGGTGCAGGGGTGAGGGAAAATGTTAAATCAAAAATGACATACACTTGCCCACAGCTTCAATTAAAGATAAGTTTCTCCAGCTGTGGCATAAAAATCAATGTGTCTCATATAGTAGAGTCATTCTAATCACTCATTTACAGTTCTTTCTACTTTGTACAAAATACATCAGGCTTCAAGCAGGATCTGGTTACATGCAGAACCAAGAGTCTGAAGAGCACTCCCCAGCCCCATTTTCCCAAAGCTTCTGCTGCCCTACAGCACCACACTCACAGCAACTCTCTCCCTTCTAGTTGGGTTTCTGTGCAACGCAGGCAAGATCTGTGTGAAAGGGGACTTTAGAAAGAGTTTACTCTTAATGGAAAACTGCAATTAAGTTTTTTGTTTAAAAAAAAACCCAAGAAGATTTAGGTAATAATTTAGCCTATTAAATAAAAAAAACAACCAAACAAATAAAGAGCCAATAATTTGTATTTATTAAAAAAAACCCAAGTTGTTTGTGACATATGAAAATACAAACTGATTGTTCAAGGTCGTCTTTACCAAATACCTACATTAACATTCTCAGGCAAACATTGCTCCTATTGAAGCCACCAGGATTTGTCCAGGTAAGAAGCAGAACAATGTCCTAAATTTGTAGGACATACGAGTTCAACGGTTGTTTTAAGGTGCCCCAAATTACTCATTCAAATGCAGCAATGCTATCACTGAATTAGCAGGAAATGCACAAGTATTTTCAATATTTTTTGTCTTAAAATGTTATGCAAATCTTCAGTTTTTCATTAATTAATTAGCTGATTTGCACTTCTTGGGTCTCAAAGTAAGCTAAAAGCCTGAGCTTCCCACTTTCAAGCAGCATTAACAGCATTAAAGATAGTTCCCACTGCAGGGCACGCCGACCTCGCGCAGATATTAAAGCAAACAGGTACTTCTGACCACCTTGTGTACAAGGGAGATTCTGTCAAACTCATCCCTCGGACTCTGATCACTTCTCTTGGGCATTTGGTCAAGCCACCTCTCGCTCGTCCAGGTCCAGTCAAACGAGCAGAACATACATGAAGTACTTGATCAAATGCATAAAGTTTATAGAGTTTATCAGCCAGAAGAATAAACACGTTACGGCCGACTCCACGCTGATAAACACAACTGTTCTGTTGGATGCGATGGTGGACCCAAAGATGACCTCCACTGGGTTTTATTTGGAACCTGGTTTTTGTGAGGGCAACGAGGTCAGGTCCAAAGGTCAACTGACTGAAGCAGCTACGGTTCAAATGGCTTCATCTGCTGCGCTTCAGCTTCTCTGTGATGCTTTGGTTTATCACCATCCAGGCTTTGAGCAGCTGCTGAACGAACCCCTGACCTTGCTGAACATCTCCTCTCACCACTTCTGTGCTGTGCCTGTCCTGGTCTTTCCTCCTCTCCAACTTGCCTAGCTTGAGATTTTCAGTCTGCCACTCCCTACAGTGTCCCTCCACTGCCCTTAAGAATAATTTGGGGAACCTACTGACAGTGCTACAATATGGCACAGACATGAAGGACGCAGCAACCCGTGGAGGCAGAGGTCACTTTGTCAGCACTATTTACATGTCTTTCAGTTTCTGTGCATAACAAGGTCCAGCACTGAGAGGGGTTCTCCATGGAATTTGCTTACTAAAAAGCAAGAAATGTAAAGGCAGTAAAATGAAAAAAAAGAAAAAAGAAAAAAATAAAAGAACAGAAGAAAAAACGAAAAGAAATATATGAAAAGAAAAGAAACTTGACCTCCAGACTTGCCAGCTGTCTTGCAGCCAGCTTGTGTTGGAACCTGTATGAATCAGTTACTATCTACTATCTAACTGCTGGACCATCCTACTTTGTCAGAAACATAAAAATAGTCTTCTTCTGATGGGAGAAGGTAGGTGACAAGCATCATGCCAAGGAGGCATCAGCAAACGGGCATTTCCTGCCTACCTCCTGCCAGCTGGCAGGCAGGAAGAAGCATCACCACTGAGAGCTAAATCTTGTTAAAAAAGGCAGGGAAAAAAGGTAGAGAGGTGTTAGCAGGAGGGTGAAATCTAAGATTTGATTTTCTGAGCAAATCCTTTCCATCTCTTGTTTTGATACAATATTTCATATTGAAGTTACCATAGAGTTAAAAACTTTAAATGTTGACGTGGCTTGTTCAAGTAAAGCAATTAAACCCAGCTCCACTCTTGTCTCTGTCTGTTTTTCTACCCAAGAAACTTTGCTTTTCTTACCCTACATGAGAAGAGAAAGCAAATTCGAATTCATTATTTCCATGTTACACAAGAAGCCTGTTTCTCCCCAGCTGTAGCGTGAAAGCAGATCTGTGCCATTGTTCCCACAGCTGTAGGATGGGTGGTTGGAGCAGCTGTGAAATACCCGCTCCGGGGGTCTGCACCAAGGGCCCCTGCAGCTGGATTCTGGGGTTTGGATTGAAATGCACTGACCTCGTCCACCCACAAAGCCTCCCGTGTTGGAGCTTGGCTTAATCTCCATTATGTATTTATGAAGCCATCTGCCTTGTGCTGCAATCACAGTTCCCGCTTATCTTGTTTCAAATACCCAGGGAAATGGTCAAATAACCAAATGACAAGTTTGACAGAGTGACAGACACTTTAATATAGATCTTGCTCATTTACCTAATTTTTCACATGTCAACAAAGCAGTTTTCCTTTAGGCAGCATGACCTATCTTAAGAGTCAATAACTGGAACACAATGATAACTTTTAGCATCAAAAAACTACACTTTATATCAGGAATTTTTCACTGTAAATCAAAATGCCAAGGGACTTCCATGCTAAAAAAGCAGCTCAAAAAATGCAAATCCAGAACACAGATTCTCTGCATTGATATCAAATGGGAATTTTCTGATATAAAACTAAGGCAATAAGAACAAATAAATCAATGCAGTACTTACTGGATTTGCACTGCTGCAGATGTATGAGGACATAAATCCACAAGGCAGACATATCCCCAAAGTAGAAAAAAGCCTGCCTAAACCCTGTGCTACATCCTAGTCCACCCGATACTACAACAGCTTGCTTGAGAAAACAGAAGGGTAACCACACACCCAGAACAGTGCCTAGAGAAGGTGAAAAGGAATTAATATCCAGTCTCTGCTTCTGCAAGCCATCAGATTTCAGTCCCTGCATTTAGTGCACGTTAAAGTTAGCACCGATGTGGTCAGTCATATGCCTCCTCTTACCATTTTGGTTTTAAGATGTGCAATCCAAATCTCTCTAAAGCTGGGAATGCTGGGCAAAACTGGGCATATATTCCCCAAATTATCAGGATGTCTAAAATGGACGTGTGGGGCTTAATGTATGATTTAAAAAGTAAAATAAATAGTTAAAGAGGGCTAGATATTGCTCAAATAGTTAAAAGTAAGATTTTTCAGAAGTGTCTTGGGGACTACAGCTCCTGTTGATTTGTTCTGGACTTGAGCTTCCAACTCCCCATCTTGCTTTTGCAAAGTTCTAAAAACAACAACAAAAAAAGACGATAGGCTCAGGAGGTCGCTGCAATTACTGCACTTGACATGCCCCAATGTACCAGTCTCACTGCAGATGGTTACTATGCTTGTCACAGCAGTTATTCCAGGGATTAGGAGCACCAAGCAAGACAACAATTCCTCCAAACAGTTGCCCTTTGTCAGAAATGAAAACGTTTGTGGGTCCAGCTTGGCAGGAGGCAGGCGGACGGCTGGCGCCAGGCACCGCAGCCGGGCCAAGGACAGGGTCACACACATTCAGGACAGGAGGTTGCTCATTGCAAGCCTGGCAAGCTAGACCCACACAGGAAGGTCTGCCACGGCTAGAGGCCCACAAAACCTCCTGGGAAGAACCACGGAGACATTGGGAAGCTCTCGGACAGGCTGTGTTAGTTCACCAAGCCCTGCTGTAACTGCAAAGATGCCAACATCTTTTAAAACAAGCATTTCCTTGGCAAGAAAAAGAATGACTGCGGGGAGAAGCAGAGAAAAGTTGGTGGATTTTTTAAGCAAAATTGAAAGCTATCTGATGTGAAGCAAGGCCAGAAATATGCTGTAGGCCCTCTCCTCTTTGTTTTACTTCATTAAGAGTTCTGCAGGACTCAAAGAAGCCCAAAAGTTGAGGTATTCAACATTACAGTTGACATGAATAAAACAAATCTGCAGAGTCAAAAAGATCCAAGAAAACCAGCTGTGCTTCACAAGCCTGCTTAGTGCTGGATTCTTCCAGGAAGTCTCTCATTAAAGCTCCTATTTACACTCTGGTTAATGAGAATATATTCTACTTCTCTACAAGTTTTGTAAAAGCTGCTCAACACAATGGGACTTTAGAAACTGATTTGTGGTCAGTCAGCCAAAGGAATGCTAAAACGTAAATCCTAACAAAAAGCGACCATGCAAACTGCAGGGGTTTAATAACACTGTTTGTAACTTCAGAGTAAAAACACAGCTTATGACTTTGGCTAACACGATTCTACTATGCCTTTCAAATAGCCTAGAAAGGTTGTAATGCTTCTATTTCAATGTCTGTGTTAGTTAAAAAACTGTTTCCAGACCCTGCAGGCTAACACCAATAAAATAGCAACCCTAGTTTAAAATTCACTGGAAAGAGTCTCCAAAAGAAATGTTGCATTTTTTTCTAGAGGGCTGAAAGTGTTGGTGCTCTCACAAATCTTTTGGATCCTCATGAGAAGAAATTTCTGCTTCCAATAAGCTGATGGGTACAGTATCCTTGCAAGAAGGGCAGAACTAAATTGGTTCTGCTCTGACCCATGTAAGCTGTCTTGAGGGTCGCTTATATTTAATAACAGATTCCTAGACATGAAGAAGATACAGAAAAAATGTGTCAAAGGAATGAAATTATTTAGTTTTGCATGTCTTACCTACTCAGACTGAAAGCAAAAACATACTTGCTCCCTTTCATCACGATCCATTGGCAGAAATTCTCCCTAGCTTTGCTCTGGCTTTCTATGCTCCTCCAAAACTTTAACATAAAGATATTCAAGTGGGGAAGATTGCACAGCCCCTTCCACAGCTCCCAAGACTTGGTCCAGCACACTCACAAGGCTGCAGACTTCAGTGAGGTTTGGTTGAAGCTTTTAAAATGTCAATATTTTGTATTAAGCTCCCCTGGTAAACTACTGAGTTAAATGGATTTTGATTAACCCTGCCCTTGACAGAGAGGAAACCTCCTAATTCATTGTGGTGAAGCCTGTACCGAATTGAACTGAGCACATTAACCTCAAACTCATTTTGATTTGGACATGAGCGAGACTGCAGCACATTTGCTGAACCTACCATAGCTGGATATTCAAAGCTTACACTAGATTCAAGCATTTCAGAATAACACCGGGAAAATCTGAGATAATTAATTTAAATAACCCTTCTGAGAATGCTGACTCTTTTTCTGAACTATTACATCTCCTAAGCCATGGTCAGCTACCTGAGAAAGAACAGGAAACAGAGACACGAGCACATCCATAAGAATCAACAAAAGAATCCGAATATATACTTTAAATCATTTGCAAAATGATACTGACATGCAATATTATTATCATTACACAAAAAAAAAAAAATCACTGAATGGAATGACACTATTTCTGAGACAAATTCCATTACTTTAATAGATGCCATTTTTGTGGGTATGGAAAATATCTGACAATGGCTAACAGACAGGTAAGCTTACTGTAGCCTGCTGGGAAGTTTCTGGATGAGGTCCGCTTCTCTCCTTTTGAAACTGAACGGGACAATGTGATTACTACCCAGGGTTGCTTGTGTACCACTTCAGCCAGGGAAGTTGTGAAAATGACAGGAAAACACGGTGCTGTTATCACATGACACAATAATGTATAACACGATACTCAGCTAGTTACACTACCCATAGAGTGCTTTGCATAAAAGATTAGTGAGCTATGTATTTTTCTTCCAAATTTCACCTCAACAGCCTCCCTGTACTGGGAGCAATGCAGCATCCAATGATTTGAATTGTATTTTAACATATTAAATCATAAGCAATTTCTTTTCTTACAGTAATGGCAAATATTTCCAACTGTATTACTACTATGATTAGAAACAGGAATAATTGTATTCAACTTATTAAGCAAATACCTGTATGCCATTGACATGTTGTTTTCTCAAGGCAGATTGACTATCACTGCTCTGTTTTTCTTGTGATCTTCAAAGCAGAACGTATTAAAAAATTATTTATTTATTTTTTAATCTAGCTTCCATCCTGAATCCAGCAATCTAGGACTGGTGGTCTCTCCCAGGTGGGCTTGTCATATCCTCTCTTAATGAATACGTTTGCATCACTTGAACAACTACAGCCTTTCTTATTACCTCCAGAGCCACACAATGACAGATAAATGAAGGTTAATTACCACTCTATATTACGAGACTTCTCTAAAAACAAAAATCAAGTTATGGATCTCTGAATCCCTCAAGCTGCCCAGCTTTGGAAATCTCCTTTCCTAATATGAGGACCTGTTATCTCAGAACAGTTTGAGCAGCTCAGCAAGATGGGCTCCTGCTGAGCACTTTGTGGAGGGCACACAGGAAACAAGCACTCAGGTCCTTGTACAAATGACCAGTGCAGCTATCTACAAACGGTCAGCAATGCAAACTTATGCTTTTGGTAAGCTCCTTGTTGGAAACACTTGAGAGATAGATAATGAGCACAGTTATTTCAACTACAAGAACCATTTTTGTTTCAACTACTCTAACAAGTGATTTTTCTAATTTAAACTTCCGTATCTAATAAAATTCCAACCCTAGTCCAGGAAGGCTAAAAGCTCTCCAGCTTCTTCGAGATTTATTTTCTATTTGTGATTAAAAAAACCCCAAACAAACAAAACCAACTTTGGGCTCCATCACAGCCTGAAATAACCTGAAATTCACTACCAAGAATGTACCTGGCAGTATTTTTCTTTCTGTGGTAGACAAGGACAGATTGGAGACAAAGAAATCATCTTACTGCAGGATAGAGATTGCTTTTTCAGAGAGATGCAGCCATCAGAAACGTGGTGACCAAAAGTGAGCTCATAAGACGAAGAAGACCAAACAAGACTTTTGTTTTTAAAGTGCCCCTTCTCTAAGACATAAGACTCTTACAAGCCAGTGAAACTAATTGCCTGTTAAAGGTCTCCATGCTCCACGGTCTAATAGTATGGTGAGATTTTAACTGTTGGTCTCCTCCAAGACAGCTGTGTGGGGCACAGTTTTCTCTACTGACTCTCAGGAGCCAAAAGGTAATTTTCTGCAAGCTCTGTAAAGATGGGTACAGAAATTATGGATGCTGTAAGGAGTTAGGCCAATGGTTCCAGAGAATCACCTTTCCCATCTTTCTCTGGTACGAAATACCCACCTAGAACATCAGGGAGACAAAACAAACCTAACTGGATTATAGAGAAGCCCCCACACTCCTCAGAGAGGACAACTGCCTTCACACTGCTGTAGCAAGAGATATTTGAAACAAGCACTTTCAACTGATGTGCACTTGTCTCTGCAAAGGCATTAGTTACACTGGGCAGGAAGGACCAGTTGCTCATCCAGATTTACTCCAAGCATATTTTACAAAGGAGGGAATTAAGACAGGCTCAAAGAGAGAAGACTGTTTAGGGTCACCATAACCACTGTAGACTGGTTTGGCCGTTTGCTCTTTTTTTCTGAGGTTTCCTAAAATGGATGGACCTTCACAATGGGAAGCAAGAACATCCACCTGAATCTCAAAGATGATGTCCGTAGTTGTCACTGCCATAATATACCATGAACCCAGTTAATCTAAGTCCTTTTCAGAAGTCAGTTTCTCACCCAAGCAGAATGGTAAAGCCAATTCAGCCCTGCAGGCCAACCCCCACCTCCATCACGTTCATCCAATCCACCTCAGTGTCCTTTCCATGAGCTCTTTGTACAACAGCTGTTTCTGGGTGCATCCTGTTCATTCAGTCCAGATGTCCTCAGTGGTAGACTCTGAAAGTCACTCATTTATTGGTGACGATGACCTATGGGGTCGAAGTAGTCCCTGAATCTGCAGACCCGCCTCTCTTTATTTTCCATTTCTTGATTTGTACAGAAGACAAAAGGAATGACCGATTCCTTCAGTTTGAACCCACAAAGCTGAAAAGTCAGCTCATGTCTCCATAGCCAGGGAAAAAGGCAAGATATTTTACTACAAAGTGGTGATTAGTCTGAAGAGATAAAGGATGTATTCTTGCTCTGAAGAAATGCGGTGTGATCCTGAGAATGCAGAATAGCAATAAAGTTTATTCCTACAGTTAGCAACGACAGTTGTTTATTGGGGTTTCCTGTAGGAACGTGGTTTGCAAGGTCCACATCTGTAAATGCAGGATTCAAGTCCAACTTAAATCATAGATATGAATAGTGGTGGTCCATATATAAAATCCTTTCTGACATTTCTGTATGTCACACAACCAGCAAAAAAAGTCTGTGACTGACCATCTCAGATTAACTGGAGTACAATAGTGACAGCCACTGAGGGTCACAAACCAGATACATCATCTGTACGATACAGCACAGACCACTCCTGTACACAGACACTAAGCTCAGATCAATGTGCAAGCCATGTCCTACTTTGTTCCTTGTAAATAATTAGTGAACAATATATCCAAAAAATGGGTAGAGACAAAATCTCCATGTGCACATATAAAGACACATATTCAGAGACATTATATATAATAATCTCCTTCAGCTCACTTTCCTCTCCAAACATCACCAATGTTTTGCATATTAAGCTAGCAGTTACTGTATCTGCCCCAGCGGAGGGAACGTAAGGATATAGGCCCTCTTCAGTTTCAGGACTTCATCCATAGTCCAGGACACTGGTCCCTAAGACATAGAGGATGGGACACCTATTGCCCCTATTGACCTTGGATCAATTCCCAGCTCAGAAAGCCAGATTCATGAGTCTAAAAGTAAAGAAGCTAAAGAAGAGAGGCCAAGAGGGCAGTCCAGCCTCTGAGATGTTATATAAAGACGATCAACAACATCTCCTGCTCCCTGAATAATTTTAACTGAAATCAGTACCGTCTGGTATGTTTTCACGGCACACCTTGCAAGCTTTGGGGGTGCTCGGTTTCCCCTCTGCTCTTAGGCAGGACAGCAGTGATGTGCACAGCTCAACAGATCCTAGGAACACCTTGAGACACAGATAACATGCAGGTGCCTGTCCTGGTTTCGGCTGGGATAGAGCTAATTTTCTTCTTAGTAGCTACAGCAGCGCTATGTTTTGGTTTCAGTGTGGGATTTGGTATGAGAGAAGTTGTTGACAAAGTACTGATGCTTTCAGTTGTTGCTAAGAAATCAAGGACTTTCCAACTTCCCATGTTTTGCTCGTCTGCAGGTGCAGAAGAAACTGAGCAGGGCACAGTAAGGTTAACAGACCCAAATTGGCATTTGGCTATGCCAATGGGATATTCCACATCATACAACAACGTGGTCAGTATATAAATGAGGGTTGGCTGCAAATGTCACTCTCTGGCTCTTCGGGGATTGAGGTTTCGGGATTGTCTCTGCTCTGGGATCGCTGGCTGGGGAACAGGCTGAGCATCATTTGGCAGGTAGTGAGCAACTGTACTGTGCATCACTCATTTGTATATTCCATTACTGTTATTTTCATTATTATTTGTATTATTTTAATTTTTATTTTCTTTCTATTATTAAATTGTTTTTATCTCAACCCACAAGTTTACCCACTTTTACCCTTCTGATTCTCTCCCCCGTTTCTTGGGTGGAGGAGGATGAGTGAGCGGCTGTGTGGTGTTTGGCTGCCAGCCAAGTTAAAACTGCCACAGTACTACAGGATATTTTTGATCAAAAAGCTGAAGTTCCAAAGACAACTCAACACTGGAGGAAGGGAGAATTTTTGGCAAATTCTGGATATCACCTGCAGTTCTTAAGCATAAAAAGTTAGTGTTGAATGTAGATAATCAGACCATTTGAAGGCTCGGATATCACACTTTCTCTATAAAGTATGAAATATGCGTTTTAGAAGGGCTTATAGAATTTAAAATGGCAAAGCACAGACAAAGAGGTCTTAAAATACTCTGAAAAATACACCAACAGATACAAATGTTATTGAAATGTTATTGAAAAGTGAATGGAGCTGTGGTCTCCCATTTTCCCTCTAATCCTCCAAAGAAGATGAGGGTATTTTGTTGTCCTGAATGCTTTTAAAATCTCCATACACCAATATTTACAACCTGTTTGCATATAAGTATGCACACGGCTGTCCTTGCTAGAGAATGCAGCACCTAGAAATAAAGGAAAAGAAAAAAGGAGAGAAAATTGTGCTTCTGTTATCACAACAGTATGAACAGAATAGAAGAGATGATACAGTCTCTGAAACTGCTTCACAGAATCACAGGATGGTTTGGGTGGGAAGGGACCTTAAAGCTCATCTAGTTCCAACCCCCCTGCCATCAGCAGAGACACCTTCCACTAGACCAGGCTGCTCAAAGCCTCATCCAGCCTGGCCTTCAACACTTCCAGGGAGGGGCATCCACAGCTTCTCTGGGCAACCTGGGACAGTGTCTGACCATCCTCACAGTGAAGAACTTCTTCCTAATATCTAATCTAAATATCCCCTCTTACAGTTTAAAGACACCACCACTCATCCTGTCACTCCCTGCCCTTGTCAAAAGTCCCTCCCCAGCCTTCCTGGAGCCCCTTCAGGTACTGGGAGGCCACTAGGTGGTCTCCCTGGAGCCTTCTCTTCTCCAGGCTGAACAGCCCCAACTCTCTCAGCCTGTCCTCACAGCAGAGCTG